AATAGAGCATCATCAGAACAAGAGGAAGTAAAATAGAGCATCATCAGAACAAGAGGAAGACACTCAAGGAGATGGATTAGCATAGTAGTTGCAATAGTGAGCTCAAACATAACAACAATTCTGAAGACGGGGCAGGATCATGCAATATTTCTTTCTGTTATACACTGGGTCATTATGAGCCGGTACCAACTTGACTTTGACGGCACCGAACAGCAACACCAATAACTTTCTGCAGGAACCCTGGGGGTGCTGTGGCTAAAGAGCTCAACTGCTGACGGAAAGGTCAAAAGTTCAAACCCACTAGCTGTTCTGTGGGAGAAAGATGTGGCAGTCTGCTTTCGTAAAGATACTCTGCTTGACTTTGCATAAAACCCTTGGGGAAGATTCCATAGCTCAGTTTAAGGGGGCGGTCCCTAGACTGTGGCAGTTTTGAGCTAGTTCTGAAAGCAGGATACAGAATATGATGTTTTCCCTTATAGTTTATTGGTAATAAAATAATAAACTGTGCTGCAAAATCGTGACTAGCTATGTTTCTTTCACATCTTTCTAGAAATTGAGGTTTTTGTTTTTGTTTTTTTTCATTTAAACTAAAAATTCTGCTTTTAGAATTCATTTAAAAAAATAGATTACAAAGCACAATTCCAGCTTTGTTAAAGAATTCCATTATTTAACAAATCTCCTTTAGATCATCTTTGTTAAGTGCCATCAAGTCATTTCCGACTCAAAGAGACCCTGTATAGGGTTTCCAAGGAGCAGCTGGTGAATTTGAACCATCAATCTTGCAGTTCAAACCAACTTTGCAGTCCAGTGCTGATCCTATTGTTGTTGATAGTATGTTGTTGTTGTTATGTGCCATGGAGTCGGTTCCAACTCATAGCAACCCTGTACAGGGTTTCCAAGGCTGTGAATCTTTACAGGAGCAGAAAGCCTCATCTTTCTCCCGTGGAGCAACTGGTAGTTTCGAACTCCTGACCTTGCAGTTCGCAGCCCGATTCGTAACCACTACGCTACCAGGCCTAAGTATTTTAAGTTACAGTATAATTTAGAATATTTATACAGTGATGAACACCACAGTTTGCTTGGCTTTCTATGTGTTGTTGTTGTTGTTGTTGTTAAGTGCTGTCAAGTCTGTTCCAACTCAAAGTGACCCTGTATAGGATTTTTGAGGAGAAGCTGGTGGATTTGAACCACCAGCTCTGCAGTTAGCAGTTCAGTGCTCTCATACAGTGCCACACCAGCGCTTCTTCTATGTGATAAGGCAGTTAAATTCAAAAGTATTCGAAAATATAAAAATCAGTGTTTCTCTTTCTTTGGAAAATATGACATAATTGGAGAAGCATGAGAAATTCCCTTATATATAATAGTTCTATAACTATTAGCCACAACTGATGCTATTCAATATTATACTTTACTTTGATTAAATGATCAAAGTGTATTATTTTAAGAATGTTGCATAATGATGCACTCTGTTACATGTGCATGCTTAGTAAATATTTAATGATAATTATTTCATGATAATGACTGTACTTGTTGCATACATCATGGGAATCTTGTGTCTTTATTTTTAAACTTTGTCTATTTTTTATTTTTTTAAATATTATTTTATTCAAAAATTTGCAGAGCTGAAGGAAGGAATCTGACCTTTTGTTAAAAGGAAGCAATTTTCACAGTGTATAGGTAGCCATTTTAGTTTGTGTTGAACAACAAAAGGACATTTTTGTTCAAGATCCTCACTCCAGCACCCTTAGCCAAATGGCTTGGGGTCTTGTGATAAGTAACACATTCCCTGGAGTGAAGCTCATAGTTGACAAACCCTCTCACCCAAGCAGAGCACCATTTCTTCCCCAGACACATACAAATGATCTTATCTTCACAGCTCTGCAGAGGGCCCTAAGAATCCTTAATTTTACTGTTGAGAGAAATGTGGAAGGATTCCTTAACTCAGTGCCTACAACAAATTCAACCAGCTAGTAGCATAAAATACTTGAAATGTAGCAGATGTTCCACAGTTAATGGAGAAATTCAAATGTTAAAAAACTTAGATCAAGTAACATGCATTCATGTTTAAAAGTGTTAATAAAACTTCATGAGACAAGATATGTAGCATTTTCTTGTACTTGGTATTATAGACTCCTAGGGACGGTCGCTACTTGATGGTCAAAAAAAATAAACAGAATAAACCACACACAGCAGCACAGAGCAAAACCTGTAAGGAATGTCATATTTAAACTTTGTTACTGAAACTAAACCAGAAAGAAAAAGTCTACAAAACCAACACTCATGTGATTTTAAAGGATGAGGTAGCTTTTTTTTCCTATGCGCTAAGGTGAAGATAATAGGAAAATCACTCCAGGTACATATGTAGTTAATTATCAGTAAGCTGCATTCTAAAGGTACAATAAGTTGTTGTTAAGTGGCATCAAGTTGGTTCTGACCAATAGCAACCCTGCATAGGGTTTCCAGGGAGCAGCTGGTGAGCTTGAACCACTGACCTTGCAGTTCAAACCAACTTTACAGCCCAGTGCATTACCCCACAGCACTAGCATGGAGTTATTTTCCAATATGTCTGTTACAAAACTAAGGAATTTTACATTTATTATTGATGATTCTACCTCATATATTTTTTCAATAACTTACCTGATATAAAAAAAAAAAAACTTATCTCTACAAAGGCTTTCATTTGTTAGTCCTTAGTTTCACTCATCTGTATAAATGAGTGATGATCTTATTGTACACTTCTACCTATAGTGATTTTCCTGCAGTATTTGGTTTTTATCACAGCAAATGCCAAAAACCCAACTTCACAAAACTAGGGTCTCATACAAAGGAAAGTGGTGGTGGTTATGTGTCGTGGAGTCGATTCCTACTCATAGCAACCCTACATAGGGTTTCCAAAGCTGCAGATCTTTATGGGAGCAGAAAGCCTCATCTTTGTTCCTCAGAACAGCTGGCAGTTTCAAACTGCTGACTGTGAGATTAACAGCCTGACTTGTAACTACTACGCTACCAGAGCTCCTTCCAAAAGAGAGCAGTGTGATGTTGTGCTGAAGCCGGTCACTGCCTCTAGCTAACAGTTCACACAGTGTTCACACATCAGCTCTCCCGTGGCACCTGTGTGGATTGATTGGGTGTCCCCGAACTCCTCAGCATACAGTTTTGGAACTGTAGGCTACTGTAAACATATCTACCGGCTTCATCACATAGAGAAGTCAAGGTACTTCTTTGAAGCATTTTTAGTTTTGTCTTCCCAGTGAGGAACTATGCCATATAGCTTCCTAGTTCTGTATGTTTTGTGCATGTCCTTCATTACATTTACTAGTCCTAAAAATGTCAATGGACTATAAAAAGGATGCCAAACTTGTGGGTTGTTTTTTTAAAAATATATGTATATACATCAATTGTCAGTAATTAATGTTAAGGAAAATTCTACCTCATAATGAAAGGAGAAAAAAAAAAAACAAAGACAGGACAAAATATGCTCAACCATATCTAATCAGAACTAGGCACACTCTTTCTGCTTATCTAGGAAAAGCATTCTAAACATTAGCACATCTTTGGAATGTTTCTTGTTACTAGAATAGACTACTATGCAGCAGGTAAAAGGAGTACATTAGATCATTATGTATCAACATAGAATATATGTTGTTGAGTGAAAAAAAAGCTTTAGAATGCTGCATATTTCTATTTTTTTAAGTTTCATATATGTAACTTAAAAATGCGTACGGTAAAATTATATAAGGAGTTTTCAAAAAATTCATAGAAAATTGAATTAAAAGATAATGAAAAGTTTTCGGAAACTTTTTGAAGCTCCCTGGTATACTATTCATATGATTATTTTTATAATTATTTTAATTAAAAACAAGAATTATTTGTGTTGCTTTTATTCTGTTTTGTCAAGTGTTTAAGGATTTGAGCTGAGCCATAAGTCGCCCTTTATCATAGTACTTAATTAAAAGTCTGAGACTACAAGATCTCAGATCCCTTGGTTGCTATTTCTTAGGAGAGTGTTAGAAACAGAAATGTCAGTGTGGAGGAGAAAGAAGCCAAGGGAATTTCAGATAAAAATCATGACATTTTGAAAACAGTATAAACCCATTGTAAACAAGGAGCAAATTACTTAGGAGTTGTAATTATTTTGGAGGTATTTTGTTTTATTTTACTTTTAATCATTTAAACTCTAAGATCTTTGAAGACTGGAACTCTGTTGTATATTTCTCAGAATGAAAATCTAGAACACACTTTGTGTATTTTTGTTATAGATTCATAATAAATAGTGGAGTCCTGGTGTGGTGCTGTAGGATAAGCACTGGACCACAAGGTCAGTTTGAATCATAAAGTTGTCAGTTCAAACTCACTGGCTGATCCTCGGAAGCCCTATACAGGGTTACTATGAATCAGAACTGACTTGATGGCACTTAATAACAACAACAACACAAATAATTGTGTTTGAATCTTATATCCAAATCTAAAAAACTCAGGTATTATTTTCAGACAAACACTTAAACTCAAGTGCACATGTTAAAGTGGTAAAATAGAAGTCATATTGTCCAAAGTGGGTAGGAAAACTGGTGCATAACCACAGACTTTATGAAAATGATGACAGTCAGTCCTTGACACCCAAGGATTACCTGCTGGAAGATGAACAGGTGCTCTCTTTGAGATATGAACTGGACCATGGGGGGAATGAGTCTGTGTGAGAGATTGGAAGTACTACAGATGGTTGAAAAAGGGCCATTTTGTCTAAACCACACACCTCTTGTTTCTTGTCTTTCCCCAGTTTATTTGAAGAAGAGATAATGTCATATGTGCCTCCACATGCCTTACTCCACCCTAGCTACTGTCAGTCCCCACGCGGCTCCCCCGTGTCCTCGCCTCAAAACTCGCCAGGTGAGTCCTGAAGGCACACGCTTCAACAGCGGGCATTCTCTCTTTAATAAAGGGGACACTTTGGATTCGTTTATAGTGTTAGCAAAGGTACATGTTGTATGTCATTTACTATTGCTTAGAACAATCTTATTTCTATAAGGACTCATTTTGGGAGAAAGATGATGAAATTCTAGACCAGGAGGATAAGTGTTAATACTATGACATAATCAGATACAGAGTTTATTTTTTGTCTAGTTATATTGTGCCTAATATGTCCTAGAAAATACGTGTGCACACAATAATTCTTAGCTCTCTGGGTTTAAGAAGTTATAATTAGGAGACTGGAGACCTGGTGTAGACAAGCTCTGGACTGCTAACTTCAAGGTCACTGGTTCAAACCCACCATCTGTTCCGCAGAAACCCTGTAGAGGGTCTCTATGAGTTGGAACTGACTCAGTGGCACTCAAGAGCAACAACAGATTAGGAGACCAATTTGATGGATTTTTAAAAATTTCAAGAAATAATGAGGCCTGATAGAATAGTGGATTATATGTTCGGCTGCTAAACACAAGTTCAGCAGT